TTCATATTTACCCAAAAAAATACAAAACAAATACAAAAAATATACCATGCAAAAAATAACAAAAAAGAAACCTGGTACGATAGATAAACATCATAAATACTCAAAGTTTTCCATCCACATCTTATCCAAATAAAGAACCACCGTTTAGTTTGTCTACATTGTCCCATAAATTACACCAAATAGCACTAAGAAAAACAGTTTGAAAAGTTTGAAAATTCATGCCAACACAAATCATTAAACTTAATGCAGAAATCCATATGCTACTTAAATGGAAGGAACTAACAACAAATTCCGATAATTTGACAGCAATGGATCCAGAGATTCATAAATATTTTGTCATGTTACCTACTTACCTGGCGCAAGGTTACTGGCATGAGAAGGCCACTAGAGAATTGCGCGGCCAATTTTCAACGAAACGAACACGAATCTAATGAAGTAAAACAACATCTCCAACGTTATCTTCAGTGGCATCATAACAAATCCGATGATGAAAGTATTCGATCAAAACAACATCAATTCGGCCAAGATCTGGAGAAATCTGGTGAAATCGATGTTGTTGGAGAAATCTTTTCACGAAGGCTCCATATTTCTACAAGACGAAGGCTGTTGCAGAAATCTGGAGCTGCGGCGGTGGCAGAGAGGAGGAGGACGGCTGCAACGACACCAAAGAGAATCCGGGGAACGAGATCGGCAGCGGTGGCGTGTGGAGGGCGTGGATGGCCATCGCGATTTTCCCCCTTTTGATGAATTAAAAGCATTCGGTATTTGGTGCTTTATCATTCATAATTAATTAGGTTTTAAATATGGAATCAAGATCTGATAATTGGAATAAGAAAAATGATCTCGTCTTTGGGGCAATAAACTTTAAGTCGCTCGTGCGGTAGGTAATTTTCTCATATATAATTGGTTTCGTATTTAAATGTTATTTTAGTTCAAATTTGGTTGTCTTGGTGCACTTTATTCCAATTATATCTTATAAAAAGAATATTTGAAGAATTTATAATTTTCATTTACCATAAAAATCTCGTTTCTCTAAACATTATTAGGTAAGAGTATGTAAATATATGATAGAAAAAAAATAATGAAGATCACATTAGGCAAAATGAAGAGTTATATAATTCCATTTTTTTAAATGAACGAGTGTATGTGGTTCAGTATACGTGGACTAGCTGCGGTTGAATTTCAGCAGTTTGAATCAAGATTTTATTACTTGACCTATAATTTGCATCATTGATCCTCAAAATGAATAATGCACTCCATCAACTAAATTGAGCTTAACATTCGCCTTAACACGTTTGGATTACTGGAATGACTTATGGCCAAGGGTATAAATGGGCCAAACCTAATTCGAGCTTCAGCCCAAACCCTTCCCAATCGAGTCGAGCTAGGTTCATTAATTAAAGAGACTTTAATTTGGATTATTTATCAATGCTAACTAATCGCACTTGATCCCCAATGGACCAAATGCAAGCATTAATGAGTCAAGCTATAGAAAATAACGTAAATATTCCTATTTTCGAGATATGCTCATTCACAAAATAAGATTTAATCAAGTTCGGCTCAACTTTCTTATCAAACGAGTCAATCTTGAGCCATAACGAGTCGACCAAAACTCACGCACGACTCGTTTCATTTAGAGCAACTCAAGTGCTGCAAAACATTACAATTTAACTTCAGAGTTGTACAGGAACTTTTTCTCTAATGTTGAACTACATTTTTTGCACCACTCTAAAAACGTTAACAATATCTCACTATATATAGCCCGATATTGTTCATTAAACTGCTTTTTTTTCAAGTTTATTAATTAATATTTATTTAAATGTATTATTTTGACAAAGTATATGTTGATAAGATTATTTTCTGTTAATAATTTTAAAATTTAAAATTATAATTGTATATAAATTTTGTACTAATATATTTGATGTAAAGTAAATTGTGACGCAAATTAATAAGAAAGAAAGTTGACGGTCTTAATTACTCCAATATAAGCCCTTTGAATGTAAAAAATGGGCTTAAGAATAGCCGATTGCTAATTTGCTATTACTTCAATACTAAAGCCCAAAATGATTTCTCTAGTGTCCACAAGGCCCGTATAAAATTCTCACTACTTCGCCGTTTCACCGAAACCCTAATTCGGTAGCTCGTTTCTAAGGTATCGTCTCTCATTTCCACATCTCTTTTTTTCTCAATTTCACCTCACATTTTTGCATATATATGTGCAACTTTCTGATGTTTTCAACAATCAAACAGTTCAATTTTCAAGTGAGATCTCGAGGTTCGTGATGGCTCCAGCTAAAGGTGCGCGTTTTTTTTTGTCGATTATTCTTTATTCTGCGTAAATTACTGAATTGTAATTTTTTTTCCTCTCAATTATTTCAGACAGGTTTGATAATTTGAGAACATTCAGCTATTTTATTTATAGAATATTTCTCTGATTTTTATTTAAGTTGCAGTTCATAGCAATTTGTAATGATAAGGTCTTGATATTTGATAGTTGTTTCATGCTGAAGAATGTGTGGTAACAACTGTCATATGAATGCTTGGACTGTGTTTGGGTGGTTAAAATGAAACTATTGAATGTTGTTGTTTGGCTGGTAATTGGTAATAGTAAAATGTAATCATGTGCTTGCAAAATTCATATCAATTTGCACACAATATATTTTGTAGCAATGATATGTTTGTTGTTTGGGGAGTCAAAAGAAATCTACAATTATATTTTCTTGAAATTACCTCACATTCTCAACTTCAAATTCGTTTTCTGTTGCAGACACATATTTGTACATAGTTCTGGTTGGTGTCACATTTTTTTTCTTCTTTTGATCGCTTTTCTTGTTGATTGTTGCCCTGTAACTTTTCGTTTATTATCTTGTATTTCTATTCGGGTTTATTTTCAGTTGATTCGTCCAAGAAATCGGACCCAAAGGCTCAGGCTTTGAAGACAGCCAAGGCTGTGAAATCTGGCGGCACAGCCTTTAAGAAGAAGGCCAAGAAAATACGCACGAAGGTCACTTTCCACCGTCCGAGGACCTTGAAGAAGGAAAGAAACCCAAAATACCCTCGTATTAGTGCGCCACCTCGCCAGAAGCTCGATCAGTACCAGATTCTGAAGTACCCTCTAACTACTGAATCGGCCATGAAAAAGATTGAAGACAACAATACCCTTGTCTTCATTGTTGACATTCGTGCTGACAAGAAGAAAATCAAGGATGCTGTTAAGAAGATGTACGATATTCAGACCAAGAAGGTCAACACACTTATCAGGTATTGAAATATTTCATGCAGCTGCTATATGTGCGCTCTTGTCTGATTGGAACGTGAAATTCTAGGTTAACTGTAGTAGAGAAGATAGGTTTTTATTGTAATTCTTGATGAAAATGATGGGCCATCTAAACTTTTTTCTAATTAACTTATGCTTCTATGTGTAGAAAATATGTGGGTATATAGGATTCCTTTCATCTCACTGTTTGATTCGTCAGGGGAATGGAAAGAAATCCATTCCGTGTCTATCTTTTAAAGTTTAAACCTTTAGGCAATTTATGAAGTACTGTGCTATTTTTATGAGTTCAGTTAAGTTGCACCCTGAATAAACATTGCCATCTTTGCCAGTTTTATTCGATGATGGTAAAAGGTAATCCACTGGAGTTTAATTTTTTCAAATGAATTTCACTGGACAAATGTGAAATAGTAGTACTTCTGTTTCGTTATTCTAGAATTTTTATCACTTAATATGATACTTTTTGTTTCGAAGATTCAGATGTTACTTCCCATATACGTGGAAGAGCTAACTACAATTATATATGTCTGTAGTTTACTTTCCATGAGAGTTACTTATTTTCTCCGAAACATTATTAACTCGTCTCATTCTCTTTTTAATGATTATGTCAGGCCTGACGGTACCAAGAAAGCTTATGTTAGGTTGACACCCGACTTTGATGCTTTGGATGTTGCCAACAAAATCGGTATCATCTAACGCCCTTCAGATTTCAGCCGATCCTTATTATTCGCAACTGTTGACTTGGACAACAAAAAAAAAGAAGGAATTTTGTAATCCCCGTATATGAAGAACCGAATTTTCTTGCATTTTAGATGTTTTGTGGCGGAAGTGAGTTTTTCCTTGTTATGTTAGACCTCCAAACTCCAAAGTTTTATTTTATCTCGTTCACTGAGATTGGGTATGATCTGGCATCTTATTTGATCTTTTCATTTGTTTATAAGGCCCATCCTTTAGTAAAGCTTACAGATGTACAAATTAAGGATATGTTTTTAGTTTTAATAAGGCCTGCAGATCCCCCCAGTTCAAGATATCTTTTAATTTTATTTTTCTCCTGATAAATTATCGTAATGGAATTTTTGTCGTCTGAATTCAAAATTAGTATTCCATAAATGCAGAGATTGGAGAATAGTATTAGAAAAAAACACTGCGCCATCAGGACATAAATTGGGACCAAAAGAACAGAAAAAGAAATATTGTGTGATGAATAATATCATAAATTTTTATATGAAGCGGGTCGCCTATTAATTGCATGGCATACATTTTGAAAATGTATATTTTATTTTTATTATTTTTTAAAGTATGAAATATCAATTTAAAAAACATATTTTTATTAAGAAAGTATGTGTTATGCTAATAATTATGATGGCCAATATCATGATGTAATAAGTAGAGCAATTTTATTTGATAAAGAATTGTGACTTGCGAAATAATATTGGAAATTTCGACCGCATTCTCTTTATCTACCAACCCCATAATTTTACAACATGAGCATCGGAAGTTATTTTAAGTGGTGGGTATATATCTGTGGCCAGAATTATCAAGATCATGCAATGTGTCCGATTTTAGCTCTATTGTGAACTGCAGGCTTTATTGTTTTCTACCTCTAACTGATAACAAGATAACAACATATTTGTAGCAAGGCTTTTCATAATAAAATAAAAGATTTGGCACATAAAAGATTTAGCATGGAACTGTGTATCAANGAAAAAAAAAAAAAAAAAAAAAAATTGAGGGTTAAACAATACGAGCAACACGATTATTGTATCCTCACAATAATGACTAACGTTTTTTTCCCTCATCAAAAGAGTCAATTTTCAATACCCAATGATTAAGAACCACAGCAAGCTGATTTTTGTGCAGCTTGGGCAGCCCCACCTGGCTGATCATTTTGTGCAATTCTTATAGTTTGAGGCTGCATTAATGCAAATACACCGTAAGATAATGTCGAAAATAATCCCACGCATCAGATATGTAAACGACAACAATCAATACCTCGGCCCTCGAGTCAGTTTCGGCAAGTCTTTGCTTTATGTCCTTGGCGATTGAGAAGAAAACCTCCTCAACGTTCATGTTTGTCTTGGCACTCTGTTTTAACACAATGAGATTTTGAATGAACATGTTTGCATCTAAAATATGTATGAATTGACGAGTGTGTGTTGGTAAAGTACTTACTGTCTCGAAGAATTTGATTCCATATTCATCTGCGAGTGCTTGACCCTTTGATGTGGGAACAGCCTACAGATTGAGTTTCGAGTAATTAGTGTGAGATCGTTATGCGAAAACACAAATCAGTCTTGGAGAGGTAAACAAGTTCCAACAGAACATTATTCATAATTCACTTGCTATTATTAATATATAAAATTAGAGAGAGATAGAGACCCTTTTGCTTTCATCCATGTCAGCCTTGTTGCCAACCAGTATCTTGTTGACATTGTCAGAAGCATGCTGTTCGATGTTTCGGATCCAATTCCTAATGTCTACAAAAAAGGGTTAAGTTAGTTTTGGCAAGAGAGGACCATTTTGTGCATTTATAGATAAAAGAAAGCCTGAATATAATATATGCAATGTTTATAAGAAATGAAAAGAGGTTTTTCTAGGCTTTAGTGCATGATCCAGAAATTTAAATAAGAATCACGAGCAATTACTGTTAAAAGATGACTCGTCGGTGACATCATACACAAGCAATATACCCATTGCTCCGCGGTAGTAAGCTGCAAAAGAAAGATATACTTATACAGACAACCAAATACACTGCAAAATATAATCAGCATAAAACAAAGGAATTTGTCAACATTTGTATAAATCAATTACTAAAAACCAACAATAAAATCACGATAAAACATATTTTTACCACAAGGTATAGCATTTTTTTCTCAAGTATATTTCCGTGTCGTAAAGCGAAAGTAGCATGTGATCTTTTCAGAATATAAACCGTACAATCAACTCCTAACACTCAAGCTTCCAGTTTCTCAAAGTAAACACCAGTCTTCAAAGACAAAAAAGGCTTGAGAGATTTCTAGTCAACAATTTTTCTTATCCCACAATACACCTTTGTTTTCCAATTGCATCACATCCCCCAATTACATACAAACTAATTTTTCTCTATACAAGCCAAAAGGCGCCCCCAGCTTTCTAAATTCCCACCCAAAGCTTGCATGTACACACCAAAACAGGCAATAACTCAGGGAAGGAAACAAACAGCAACACAAAACGAGCACTAATCAGTCAGAAATGTACCAGTGGTAATTGTCCGGAATCGCTCTTGTCCAGCGGTATCCCAGATTTGCAGTTTAATTCTTTTCCCGTCAAGCTCTACAGTTCTTATCTTGAAATCAATCCTGTATGAGAAAGTGGTATTAGGTAAAGAAGTTAGTAACAAAGTTTGGAAAATCTAATTGGAGTAGGCGACTAACTAAAAGTAACTGACCCGATGGTAGTAATAAAACTGGTGGTGAAGGACCCATCAGAAAATCGCAGAAGAAGGCAACTCTTACCCACACCTAAATAAACAAAATAAAAAGTAAAATGAAGATAACTTCAACCTCAGTCTTGTCAAATTGAAATTTCAAATAAACATTAGAATATTTATTATGTATGAGTTAATCTAGAAATTAATGAGTGGTATAGGAGATGCCCGAAAAAGAATACTCGTCAGTGAAACACTTTTCAGTTGCATGTTAGAGTCTAAGGTCCCAGATACAATGACAACGAAAACCTGGATTACCTTACCAGTCCAGGTTCTATTCATCAATGAGCACAAAGACAGCATCATTAATCCATTTGAAATAGATTATCCATAACAGAGCCTAACATGTGAAACCTACAACCCATAGAATCAATCAGTTGATTTACTTTGCAGAGATATTTGCTCAGTTAGCTCAAATTCTAACCGTGTGGACTTAAAAGCTCATCACTCTTCCAGCAAGGCCGTACTTACTTGTTTTGGAAATAGCAGTGAGCTTACTTTAAATGCTTTGATCAAATCTTAGATGGGAAAAAGCCCACAGAAGAATCATGCAACACACAGGGCACGCTGCTGTTAGGCTTCAGGTACATTCGCAAGTACAAATCTTACAAGTCTTACTAGAGTCGGCCCCGAGTAAACATAGATTCGGTTAGTTAGAGTCTCTCTTTTCCATGAATCGGGTTCAATCAGCTTGAGTTTTCATTGAATATTTATTAAAATGGTGTGGGCTCCCTCCCTCCCTTTCTTCCAATAATCCCGTTTGATTTTTCAGCTGGTTCATCAATGAGATGTCATATTAAACAATTTCATTTTGCATCTTACGAAAAACAATGGCTTCTAACAAACACGGCATATATAATCAATCATACAAAGCTTTCACTGAATAACCTGACATAATACACACACATCCATAGGCAGCCACAAGAAAACTCGATTATCCATCAGTACATTGAAGGACCAAACAAAATATTATTAGCAATTTAGCATCAATATAATCCTGCCATAACTATTATCATGAGTACATAAACATTACAAATTCCAAATTAAAATCTATAAGCTGATTAACAAACATTTCATATCAGCTCCAGCAACAACAAAATGAAAAATTATAAAAAGTATGATAATTATTGAAAAAAAAAAACACGCACCGCTATCTCCAATCAAAAGGAGTTTGATTAGGTAATCGTAATCAGCTCGAGCTCGGGCGGGAGGAGCAGCCATCTGATTTGCTTTGTTATGTGTTTTTCCTTATTCGAAAATCAAAGCAAATCTAGCAAACAGCAGCAAATCAAACAGAGAATCACAAATAAATATATATTTCTGAATTTTAGACGAAGGAGATGAAGGCATGAATTTGAAATTTCGAAACAGATAATCAAATTTGAAGAGTAAACTGAAATGAAAAAAATTACCAGATCGCATGAAGGAGATGAAAGAGGGATCTAATAAATGAGGAATGATGAAAAAGAGGAGGGAAGCGTCTGACATTGAGTCTTGTGCTTTTTGTTTGCAATTTCTATTTAGGTTTTAAATAATTGGCTAAATAAATCAATCATTGAGGGATGAAAATTGAAACATCAACAATTGCTACTTGCTAGAGTTTATGTTGGAAAGGGTCAAGTAAATAGTAGAATGATATTTTTTTTATACCAAAAATGGGTTTTTTCATTAAATATTGACATGAACCATTGACATGTTTTTCTTGGATATGAAAAGATTTTCCTATTATTTTTTGTTATATTTTGAATTTATTTATTTTTATATTTTCTTGAATTAACAAAGTATTTTATATGTAAAAGATGGTGTTACATATTTATGGTATTTTGATACATATAACAGAAAAGTTAGGTAATAGCTAATAAGTTAATTAATACCTTACAAGTTAAGTTTGATTTTGATAACGTGTAAATTTTATATCAAGGATGTGTTACGTATTTATAGTATTTTGATAGATATAACTAAAAAGTTAGATAATAATTAATAAGTTAACTGATACTTTACAAATTAAGTTTGATTTTGATAACTTAAAATTTGAGGCTCATGATTAAAGATAAGAGTTTTGCTATGAAAGCCAACCGTTGGCTTCATAGTGGATAGTTGGTTTTATAGTAGATATGGTATGATTTACTTGTTGTGTATAAAAGGTTGATTGCACTATAGAGCCAACAGTTGGCTTTGTAACAAAATTATAAAGATTAATTAGCTTATATAATAAAATAGTTTGATAGAATTAACTGATAAATTAGTTATAACAAACGTCGCAATAGGCTTGTATGAAACCTTTAAGCATATAAGACGAATTTGAAGTTTATAAAATATTTATTACAATAAACAACGCATAGTTGAATATATCCCCCTTAATATAATTTCAAAACGTGTTAAGCCTAAATGGCTAGCTCGCACGCTTCGGAAGCTTACTTGACAACATTACATGCTTCAGTTTTTGGTTCGGATAAAAATTAATACAATTATATTCTAAAATAAATAGGTTCGGACATATTATAATTATATTCCCTAATTGTTTAAAATAAAATACTTAAAAAATAGGATTTTTGCATAATCTGATCCCCTTCAACTCCAAAATAAATAGGATTCTTATCTTATTCTTATATACCGTGTAAATAAGATTTTTTTGCTTAATATTATAATATATGTTTGTTTAATCTTTGCCAAAATCGGTGTGATAAAAACAAATCGGATTGCTTTCTCAATATTTTTGCTTAATCCAATCCCCTCCAAAATTATAATATATTTTTGTTTAATATTATAATATATTTTTGCTTAATCCAATTAATAAATTGGAATTTTGCTATCCCCTCCAACTCCAAAATAAATAGGATTCACTTGTTACTTGTACAAGTTGCATGTGTTATAGTATAGTAATTTTTATAACTTATAAAATATAACTACTTAAAATATAAATATATTAATTGATAAATAATTTTATTTTTTTAATTAATATTAAAAAAAATTATTATTGCTATAAAGATATATAATTTATTTTTTTATATATATACAATATGGATGTTAAATCGAAGCTCATCAAGAGATGATTAATTTGATATATTATATATGTAAAACTGATAAAAAATACAAAAGTTATTAACTTTTAAAATATATTTACAATTCAATTGTTATAATAATAAATAATATTAAAATATAATTAATATATGTAACATGATCATAAATAATCAACATATTTATGGATAATCCGAACCTAATTATTTTTTGATAAGAAATAAATTAAAATCTACCCAAGCCTAATAACAAAGCATGTAATTTTGCCACATAGGATCCTGAGTATTATTTCAAATAATTATTTTTGTTATTTATTTGTATCAATAGTGTGTGTGTGTGTGTATGTAATTTATTATCATTCTACTATAAGAATATATTTCTTCACTTCTTTATTTTGATACATATATATAACTTTCAAGCCCCCGTGATATTCACGGGCGTTATTAACTGTGGAATAAATTAATTAATCTATTTGACATTGACAAAAATAAATAATACTTCATAAAAAATATTTTATAGAATTTGAAATAATATTAAAAATATTTTTTATTAGTTATTTATAGTTTTTTAATTCATAATAAGAATTTTATTTTTTTCATTTTTTGTGAAACACTCGTATAGTACACGGGTGTTTAACTAGTAAACTTTATACACTAACTAAATGAGCCTGTAAGCTCTCATGGTTGGTTTTTAATAGATTTTTTCACTTTCTATCACGCAGTGTTTTTGTTACATTTGGTTCAGACTCTTTTCCTATGTCATTCTTTTATTAGCCATTAGAATTTTGTTCGGAGTTTTCACATATGTTTTATCTAAATTGTTTAAAATGAACCATATAATTCCTCTATATAATTGAACTTTTACCATTATAATTGTGTTTCAAACCAAAATAATAACAATAATAGTAGCCAAATAGTAAAAATAATTATCTAATTAATATTTAGCTTATTTTTTTCTATATAAAATAAACTGATGCATGTTGACAGGTGATTTCACAAAGAAAAACATTTCACAAGTATCCACTTAATTAAGATATAATTTACTATATTAATAAAGTGTTGGAGATAATGTTTTGAACTTTGCAAGTTCATAACTCATAACTCATAATAAACCAAACAGTTAGATAGCATCCATGCCAGAATTTGGGCCTACACGGGCCCAACATCATAATCAAAACTCGCTTCCAACTTCAAAGCATTAAGTGAAGCCCACCACCGCTCACCACTAAACAAACCAGAAATGCACAGGTGTCCCCGGCATATGCCAATTTTATACCCGAAAAAAGAAGAGAGAGAAAACGCCTTTTTTTCCTCTTTCCCAAATAAATGGCAAAGGACAGCACAAGGCGGGAAGGCGTAACGTACCACCAGTAGCTCCTGCAGTGTAAGCTTTTTCATCACTCTAACTCCTTTATCTCTCTAGGGTTTCGCTTTTGCATCTCTCTTAGAAAACCTCTTTATTTTCATACGCTGTTATTTTGCTTCGTTCTCACGCACTGTGCTGTCTTCGAGATCTGAGCTGATTTTTCATATCCGTTTTTGTTTTTTTATTTTTCCCTTTTTTCCCTCTCTCAGGCCCAGTATCGAGCTCCGTTTTCGTTTCAGGTATGGCGGTGCGGTTCGTTTCTGTAATTTGACTTATGAGTCGCGCGGGATTTTTCGTTGTGATTGCTTGTTTCGATTTTTGATTGTTGTGTTTTTTTGTTCTTCGTTGAGCGTTGATGCATGTGTTTTTTGTGGGGGTGATGCGATTATGTTGTAGATCGTGTATCTGTCCTGTGGAGTTTGGATCAGTTTGCTTAATATTTGCTCGCTGTCAACGATTTGTTGCGTTTTTTGTATTTTTGAGTGCGCGCTACTGTTCTTCGTTCATGTTCTGTTTATCTGATGCTATTTGCAAGTTTTCTGGACTTGAAACTCTGATTACTTCATTAAGATTTGGTATACAGGGTGCTAGCTAGATATTGTGTTGATGTAGTTGTTTTTTGGTCCACATTCCATGATGTTTCCGGGCACCTTAGAGGTGTCTTCCTTGATAGAGCTTACTTTACCTTTAGATGTAGCATATAATAAATTTTATATTTGTATTGTTTTTGGTGCTAATGCGCTTACTAAATACTTGATTCATGAAGTTCTAAAATCTGCATCAATTTCATTAGTTTNTTAAATAAAGTGAACCCGACAGAGATCTGTTTTCATGACTTGTGAGTGCACTAGAATCAGAAACGTTTATTATTGATGATGTCCTGATATGCTGTCTGCAGCTATGGCGGCACCTGTTGAGACACCAAACTCTTCTGTTGTCCAGAAATCATCGCGTTTGCCTCTCAATGAAAGAATACTGTCTTCCATGACCTCTAAAAGTGTTGCTGCTCACCCTTGGCACGACGTTGAGATAGGCATGATTAATCACTTTCGTGTTCGAATGTCTAATCGCAGACTCGTGTTTAATCCTTTTCATCCCTTATTTTTCCTACGCAGGACCTGGAGCCCCAGTAACCTTCAACTGTGTAAGGGGATTTTGGTTTGTGTAAATTTTTGTATTCTCTTATACTAGTTCGAGCTGAGAATTGACTTGTAATTGTAAACTTAATGCTGAAGTGAAAATCTGTCCATCTTTTATGTGTAGCCTGAATTACTTTCATTTTCCTATCTCGAAAATTCATATGAGAATCACAGTCCAGAAGAGACTGATGGCTCAGGCTAAAGTAACTTGACCCAAACACTATTAGTAATGTATATCAAATTTCGCCTTCCAGTTCTTGCTTCTGATTGCCAACTTCCCAAATAAGAGAAGTATTTTTTTTACCCTGCCTTCACTCCAGTTTTACATGTATTCTTATCCATTTTGTATGTCGTGCAGTATAGTGAGTAATGACCTCCTTGCTTATTTACTCTCATTACCCAAGTATTTTACGAACTACTTTACATCCCATGGCAAGCATTGACTTCTGTTGTATAACTTAACTTTAAGTAAGGTTTCATGGATTTTTTATAGTAATGATTGACTGAGCAAGGACTGCAGCCAAAAAGTGTTAAAAAAAATATGAAATGGGATTCAGCGGAGGATGTTTAGTCACATCTGTGTTTAGAGTGAACTACATACGATCTAGTGGTCTAGAAATACATCTTGTTCACTTCACTGTATAGTCATATGCACATATATATGTGCTCAGTCTTTTGTATGCTCTCCCTTGAGGTTTTAACGGGGTTTTTTTAGATTGCTTTTCTTTCTGTTCACATATTTCATGGGGATATTTGTTTGCTTGCAATAGACTCAACTAACCTGTTTATTGTCTGCAGGTGGTTGAAATAAGTAAGGGAAGTAAGGTGAAATATGAGCTCGACAAGAAAAGTGGTCTGATCAAGGTATGTTGTGTAATAACTTCCATAGCAATATATGCTGGTTAGTTATGATTACAAAATCATTGTGAAAGTGCAGGTTGATCGTGTTCTTTACTCATCCGTTGTGTACCCCCACAATTATGGCTTCATTCCTCGTACTCTGTGCGAAGACAGTGACCCAATGGATGTATTGGTCATTATGCAGGTAAAGTTTTCATTCTAGAACTTGCCACCAACACTTTTGAGCATTTGCGATTCTAAAGCTATGTTTCTGCTATCTGGTAACTATGTCTTGCTCACGCAATAAATAAAAATTAATGGAAACTAATGCACCTTGGGTCGCTACGGAAACAGCCTCCTTGTATAATTACAAGGGTAAGGTCTGCGTACAACTGACCCCCCATACCCCAACCTGTTGGGAATATACTGGGTATGTTGTTGTTGTTGTTGGAAACTAATGGACCTTTTCCTAGGGAGGAAAGTGATGGATAAGACCTCTAATATATAAGGAGCCTGAAGGTTTGTTTTGATTGACACTGATGAGAATCAAGGATCATCAACATAATTCATTAGTCATTTGAAGTTTGCCCTCAGTTCAATTTTATTTGATGCACTCATTGAACAAATATTAATATACATTGCTCGGATAATTAAAATTGCAATAACTAGAAAAAGGACTATCCAATTCACTTGCAAATAATGACCGTCAATTTGAAAAATCTGATTTTAATATCTATTTTAATAACATATGCAAGAGTAGTCTAAGATGATTGTAAGTTTGAGACCATTGTTCCTAGCTTCTATTGATCATGTAGTTAGTTCTGTAAACTTGAAATTTGTTCTTAACCTTCATTCTCGGTTGTGTGATATAAAGAATGTGTTGGCTTTTAATAGAAAACGTCCATTGAAAACAGTTTTCCTCATTACTTAACTATCTCGTCAAACACGATCAGGAACCAGTTCTTCCAGGCTGCTTTCTCAGGGCTAGAGCTATAGGCCTCATGCCCATGATTGATCAGGTACTTATACACTACACTTCACATCGTACATAATCTCATGATTTAGAACAAATAGCTGACTTCTTGACCACAGGGAGAGAAAGATGACAAGATAATTGCTGTTTGTGCTGATGATCCCGAATATCGCGACTATGCAGACATCAAAGAGCTCCCACCTCACCGCTTGGCTGAAATCCGCCGTTTTTTCGAAGATTGTATGTGAAAAAAAAAATTTTAAGCATGCTTGACAAAAATATTCCTGTTTTCTCTCAACTGGTGTTTACTGAATTCCTTACATCCTTTCCAGACAAGAAAAATGAGAACAAAGATGTTGCGGTTGATGAATTTCTTCCAGCTACAAAGGCTTATGAAGCAATCCAGGGCTCCATGTGGGTGATCTTTTCATACATTCAGATAGGCTTTCTGTGTGAAGAGAAAGAATAACTATTCCCATTTTCCAATATATACAGCATAAGTAAATATATTCTAGTGATATTATTTCTGAGGTGACGGAATATCATGATTTTTAATGATGGTTTGGTGGTTCGATTTCCGTTCTCAAAATACACCCAGAAAGCAATTTTAGTGATATTAATTGATCGCCGATTGTATTTAAAATTGCTTCAATCTCCTGCAGGGACCTGTATGCAGACTATATTGTGGAGAGCCTGAGGCGTTAGCTTGAGCTCAGGACCTTTTTCGAGCTTTCTTCCTAAATGTTACTCGCTTGTAAATTTCTTCAATACAATATTGAGGTGAACATTTTACTTCCCTGATTGTTATAGAATCGGGTTAAAAGTTCTGAAAACCCAAAATATACCACGGGCTTGCGAAAAAAAGTGGCTACAGCACAAAATGTATTTCTGAAGATATTTTACGGCAACACTTTGGCTAAGTTCCATTTTCTTGAAAGCATTTTATGTTGCACATCAGTCGTAATGTGACACTGACACAGTCCTGCCAGTTCCTTGCTTAATTTAGTCTGTAGCTTGGCTATAGTAATGGTGGACTTATGCGAAGTCTTTGGCCCTTAGGTATGTTTGGTTCAAAGAGAGATTTTAATAGAAGGGAGGTCATGTAAAATAATTTTACTTTGTTTGGAAGGCAGATAGCAACCCAATTAGGAGCAATCAACCATCATACTTGTAATCCATTCTTGATCCGCCAAAGGAGGGGCCCTAAAGTTCCACCTATCAAAAACAAGAGTAGACTCAAACCCTCCCTTCACTATAGCGCCCAGTGTGAATCAATGGCTCTCTCACAAAGTGAAGAAATACCTTTCAATCTGTGGTTACCGATCAAGCTTCTCTTTCCTATCCGAGATTGCTAGTCGTCAACATGGTTTGGTTAGGAAATGAAGGGCCAGAGAAAATAATATAGAATTGACTATTTCTCTTAGAGCACGTTTGTTACATTAGATTAGATAAGATTGGTACCCTTATCCAGCCTTAAATGAGCGCTTGTTTGCTTAGATTAAGGCCCGCGAGATTCCCTTTGGCCCGCGACTTTATCTGCCTTTATCTTGCTTTGCGCTGATAACTTGATCAGGGCAAGATTGAAACTATCTCAACAGTGCTCTTGTTGTGAAATGATTTTAATCACCCTTATGTTTTTTAATTTGAGACCCATGTACCCTTGTTCCTACTCTTTTTTACCCTTCCAACCAGTGACCATTATTGTATACCTACACCATACATATACTTTGTGCAGTATTTTCGACAGAGCAATCGGACAGGTGAGGTACTCATTTTATTATCTCCATTTTGTTGTTGT